GATAAAAAATATTAAATACAGAAAACTCACTAAATGATCTCTTTACACCTTCCCAAAAAATCCAATCTCTGATTCTGAGGACATATGTTGTTAATGATCCTTCTAGAATTAAATGATTTATCCTTTCCCTTGATGTTTTTTTTCGTATCAATATCAACTTTATTTTCTTCTATGTTTCCATTCAATTCCATATCACCATGCACAATTATGTATTCTATATTGCTTCTATATTTTTTATACTCCGAATCATGGCTTTTGAATAATTTTAAGTCAATTTGTGGAGGTATCAACTCTGGTGACGAGATTCTCGATTCATCAGGTAATTTGTCCAACTCATCATTAACAAATCTTGCCAATGTTATTGGCAATTGAACAATGAGAATAACAAAAAAACTCGTCAAAAGTAACATATTGCTCGATCAATTCTAATATTTAAATTCGATGATATTTTCACCAATTATTCGAATTATTTTTATAACAAATTATAAAATTATTAATATGATCACTTCAATTATTTATAATCGCGTATAGATAAAATATCGACGTTTGGCAGAAATGGAATAAAAATAAAATTAATCTTTCTGCAACTGATCACGAACGCCGAATAACGAACGATCTGATTTCTGACAATTTAATATATCTGGCGTGAATAACCACAGTATTCCGTTACAGATTAGATTCATACGTTTTTTATCGTGACGTCATTTTAGTTTTCAATTATATGACTAAGACGATAATGCGATAATACAGTGATAAGTGGGGTTTATAAAAGGATCAAGAATTCGCAATTCCGATCAGTCTAAATACAATTTTTGGAATTATGACATTATAATTTTCATGTTGGAATTTTTGTTATCTCTTCAAATTGGTTAATATGATGAATTCAAATACAGAAAGGAGATTAACAAGTGAATATAAAATTATCAATTGATATATAAGATTGCACAGATTTTTTTCGTGTAAGTCAAAAGCAGAGCATATCGCAGAATTGATTAAAAATTTTGATCAACAAGATTTTCATCTCACGAAAGATTTTGAAATTTATTTTAATCGTCAGAAATACAGATTTCAATTTATCAAATCATACAAATCATTAAAGTCAATTTGAAAGAAACATAAACAAATTTTATGTAAAAGAAATTTTATAAAAATTAAGAAAAAAGATAACAAAAGAATAAACAGTTTGGCTAACGCATGAGATTGTATTTTTGTTTCTTATACATTTAGAGTATCGGTAAAATAACAGATTTTTATGAGGTTATACATAAATTCTTTAATATATCTACTCCTTTATGTATATATTACAATGATTTTTGATTTATTGATTTATATTTATATAGAATAAATTCAATATAATATAAAATATAAAGTATCGATATCGTGCTAATATATTTAATAATTTTATTAATCTCTTTTGAATATATCTTTCGTACAAATAATTATTAATGATATAATCTGAAATTATAAAAAAAATATCAGCAGATATCAACAAAAGAATTAATCCCTTATCTTGCATTATTTAAAATTTTTTTTTATTTATCATCATACTTTTTACAATTATCAATTTTTTTATATTGATTAAGAATTCCATGATTATAATGATTATATTTATTTATTTAATAATAATAATTTTTAATTCATGCAACTCTTCAAATTAAAATATTTTATTTTTTGAATTTGTGATCATACTTCTTACAAGCATGCGGATTTATGACTTTATTTTTTTACACTGAAATTTACCGGACACGACAACCAATCTATAACCTGAAGGACATCTAGGAAGACCTGTAAAAATAGTTCTGGACTGCATTAAATCGGCAGTTCGTGCTTCCAATGGTTGTTGCATATCATTGCTAACAGCTTCACATTTTGATGGAATAATTAAAAGCATAACAACAAAACTGAATAAAAGAACAGTAGTTAAACGTGTTGCATTTCTTGAATAGTTCTTCATAATTCTTCTTTAATGTTAATTTAATTCCTTAATATTTAATTTCAATTTCTCGTAATTCTTCCTAAAAAGATTGATGTGATTATAATATTGTTAAATATTTATTTTTATTTTAATGTGTACAATCAACAAATTAATTTTAAATAGTAAAATAATTAATAGAAAATAGAAAATCGTTGGAAAATATATTTCCAATTATGGAGAATTTTTTTCTAAAGAATTCATGACAATTCGATCTAAATTTTGATCTATGTACTTTGAAAACATCAATTACAAGCATTTTAAGAAATAATATTTTGTAATATAGTTAATGCTTTTCTTTTATTTATATTTAAAGACAATATTTGTATTTAATAATATAACAATAAATAAATATTTTTATCAATTTTTGTATCAAAATATTATATTTTAGTGTTTAATTTAATAGCAAAGCAAATAATAAAATGATACAAAATCTTGTTTTTATAATTACTAACTTTCTCTACAATTGGACTATATAAGAAATTAATAAAATATTAAAAAATAGTTAAAAGAAACGAACCTTGATTAAAAAGATCCAAGAGAATTAGTTGTATTTTCTTGTATACGAATTTCGATTTATAAATGATTTCTTGATATTTTATACTAGTCTATATAGTGAAATAAAACGTAATAAAGAATTTTTTAAACACGATTGAGTTTCACGAATGATAATTTTTACAAGTTATATATTTTTATGATCACAGGAGAATCCTCCATTATATTATTTTACTACACTTATATTGGATAAGTTTCAAGATATAAAAAATCTTTATTATGTTAGAACATATTTTAATTTTATTTTTTTTATTATTCTTTATTATTCTTTCATTTTTTTTTTTACATATTTTGTCTTTTATAATTCATTCAGAATCAAGAAAGGAAATGATCCCTAAAATAGATGTCGACAAATAAAAAAAAATATATAAATAAAACTAAATATTAAATGATAAAAATATATAAAACATTAAAAAAATTTAATAATTGTTTAATTTTCTTATATTTGCTTGAAATTAATCAATGATTTTCAAGATATCTGAATTAATTTTGCTCGATTCGAAAAGTGCAGTCGAATAATTCTGAAAAATAATATTCATAATGCAAATTAAATTCGAAAATCATAGGATTCGACGAACCAAGACGATCATGATCACGTGTGACTACTTGCATTGCTTTTTATTATCATAAATTCGAGATACTTCATTCATCGAATGAAAATTATTTCGAACTATGTTATATCGTAATTAAGTTACGCTAAAATAGAAATTTTGAAATAATGCTTCGAGTTAACCAAGTAATTAAAATATTTCCATGTATTTTTTTTATTATTTTTCCATTGATGTTGAAAAAATAAAACAAAATTTTCTAGAAAAAAGATTCTTTCTACTTATTGTATAGTTAAAAGGAATAAATTGTTTAATAGATTAAATTTATCGATAATCAATACGTATTGAATATAAACTGTTATCATTTTGTAAAATTAACTATTAAAAAAAAACGATTTGCAAAAATCGTACACGAATTTAATAAATTTCGGTCACGATTACTTGGAATAGTTTATCAACATGTATTTTATTTTATTATTTCTGTTTATGACAAATATACGTTTAGAATAATGGCAAAATTATTTCGAGTCAAGTCTATTTTTTATTAATTATTTATAAATAATTATCGAATTCATATTAAAATACTTCTACTCATCACATAAATTTGAATAATTAAAATTATTTAAATTTGATTATAATAAGCAATTAGCAGCAGATTTATTTATTGTTTAAAATTGTTATAAATAAAAGATAACTTGAGCATCGATTACTAAATTAGTTATAAAAAATAATTAATCCTTTTTTTAGAAAAAGTAATCTAAAGTCATTACACACATAATAGAATGGAAATAAAAAGGAAATCAAAGAATCAAAAAATAATCTTTATAATAATAATTTTCTAAATAAATCAAATATATTATCTGCTAGAAGTATAGAATATACTTATCTATAAAATAAAGGCCTTATTCAAATATATATATCATAAATAATAAGAAATATATTATTTGAAAAATTATTTTGTATTTTTTTTTATTACAATTATTACAATATTATTTCTGAATATAAACTATTTCAAGTATTTCTATTTTTAATTTATTTCAAATATCTACATTATTTTTATTTTATATATCGTCATCTATATATCATATAATTATTTTATTATAGATTGATAACAATAATTTTATATGTGCACCAATTAACATTGAATATTTTAATTTTAACTAAATTAAGTTATATAACTTAATATTTAATTTATATTTAAAAAATATATTCTCTTAGTAACAGTCAACGCCATCTCTCTGTCAATAATCTAACTTTTAAGAAACTGAACATGTAGCAATATTATATCTGATTCCACTGTGTCATTTGATTTTTTATTATATATTGAATTTCTAAAATTCTTAAACAACCAAATTAATAAAACTGAATAAGATGAAAAATTTATACAGAATAATAAGAATGGGATAATATGGGAATATTTTATAATGTAAATTTAAAATATACGTAAAGTATAAAACCAGAAATACAAAAGATTAATAAAAAAAATAATTATTATAGCATTCAATAATTGCATCACTTATTTATTATTTTTATATTATTTTAATAATCGCTATTATTTATTAACTATTTAATTTATTAATGATAAATGAAGCATAAAGTAAACAGTTTTTTAGTCATGATCAAATTTCACGAATTCGCTCGTTAAGTCAATTTTTACGAAGTCATACAAAGACTCTTTAATTATATATCTACTCGTTTATGTATATTTTGCAATGATTTGATTTCTATTTATATAGAATAAATTTGAATAATAAAAAATGTAAAATATCAATATATCAATATCAATTGTATTTAATACATTTAATAATTTTATTAATCTCTTTATATCTTGCATACAAATAATTATTAATGATACAATCTGAAAATCTGAAGAACAGTAGATATCAAAGAAAAATTAATTTTGTATCTTATATTTTGTTTAAATGTTTTTTATTTATTTATCATCATATTTTTTACACACAATTATTACAAATTTCTTTGTATTTAATTAGAAATCCCATTTATAAGAAATGAATCCCATATTTATATATATATTTATTTAATAATAATTATTTTCAATTCATGCAACTCTTCAATTTAAAATATTTTTTGAATTTGTGAATATACTTCTTGCAAATTCATACGAGTTTAAGGGACCATTACTCTACATCTGTTTTTAATCAATTTAGAACCTGGAGGACATCTAGTAGGAACATTAATAATGTTTCTAGGCTGCTGGACTAAATCGGCACTTCGTGCTTCCAATGGTTGTTGCATATCATTGCTAACAGCTTCACATTTTGATGGAATAATTAAAAACATAACAACAAGACTGAATAGAAGAACAGTAGTTAAACGTGTTGCATTTCTTGAATAGTTCTTCATAATTCTTCTTTAATGTTAATTTAACTCCTTAATATTTAATTTCAATTTCTCGTAATTCTTCCTAAAAAGATTGATGTGATTATAATGCTATTGAATATTTATTTTTATCTTAATATATACAATCAACAAATTAATTTTAAATAATTAAATAATAGGAAATAGAAAATTATAATGTCCAATCATGGAGAATTTTTTTCTAAAGAATTTATTCATGGCAACTTGATTAAATTTTGATCCATGTACTTTGAAAACATCAAGCATTTTAAGAAATAATATTTTATGATATAGTTAATACTTTTTTTTATTGTATTTATATTTAAAGACAATATTTTTTTAATAATGTAATAATAAATAAATATTTTTATCAATTTTTATATCAAAATATTATATTTTAGTGTTTAATTTAACAGCAAAGCAAATAATAAAATGATACAAAATCTTGTTTTAATTTTAATTATTAATTTTCTCCACAGTTGGACTATATAAGAGATTAATATAATATTAAAAAATAGTTAAAAGAAACGAACCTTGATTCAAAAGATCCAAGAGAATTAGTTGTATTTTCTTGTATATGAATTTCGATTTATAAATGATTTCTTGACATTTTATACTAGTCTATATGGTAAAATAAAACGTGATAAAGAATTGTTTTGTCACGATCGAGTTTCACGAATGATAATTTTTACAAGTTATATTTTTATGATGTCACAGGAGAATCCTCCATTATATTATTTTATTACACTTACATTGGATAAGTTTCAAGATAAAAAAAATCTTTATTATGTTAGAACATATTTTAATTTTATTTTTTTTATTATTTCTTTGATAAATAAAAAAACAAAAAAGAAACATTAACAAAACTAAACGTTAAATGGTAAATATATACAAAATGTTAATAATTATATAATTTTCTTATATTTCCGAAATTAATCAATGATTTTCTGAATTTTTGAATTAATTTATTATTATTTAATTTATCTATCTACATCTTTGATTCAGAATTCAACAAAAAAATCATAATCTGAAAAAACAAGATATGAACAATATAAGCGAAAGCTCTTGGGCAATTCATGATTTTTTCTAATACTGATTTCAATTCCTATTTTTCCTTATATCCTTATGTATTTCTTACAATAAACGTTAATAAAGAATAAAATAGAAATGAAGATGCTGACTATTCCTACAATTATTTATAATATAATTTAAATTAATTTCAAAAAGCATAGTGAAAATAAAATCAAACTTAGAATAACATAAAATTATCTATACTTTGATAGATTCTATTATTGGCCAATGTTTTTAATTAACTCATAATCAACTTAATATGATATTATAATAAAACTCAACGAAAAATTTTTGTCAAAGAAAAAGTTGCTTGTAATAATCTCAAGAATCTTCAGATAAATTGTTTCCACATTTTTAGGATACTCTATATATATTATATATCAATTATCTATCTATCAATAAAATTTTTTATTATTAAATCATCGGAATAAATATAGTTATACATATTTCTGCAAATAATTTTTGATTTATAAATACAATGTGTATCTTCTAAATACTTCATGTTAACTAATTCATTATTTACTTGTTCTGCTTTTTATATAACTTGCCATTAATCAATAGAACGTAAAAATAATCAAACAATTGGTAATAAATTGATCTTTTGTCATGAACTAAATTTATACCTTTTTTTAATACTCCTACTTAAAATTTAATAGCGGAAATAAATAAATTTTGTCGTGAATAAATGAAAAAACAAAAGGAAAAAAACTGTAAATATCATATAATGATTTTTAAATTATCACGTGATTGAAAAATGGCATCCATCACACGAATTAAATTCAAAAATCATAGGATTCGACGAACCGAGACGATCACACGTCTGACTATTCGCATTACTTTCCATTGCCATAAATTCGAGATACTTCGTTTGTTTGATGAAAATTATTTTGAACTGCATCATACCGTGATTAAATATAGAAATTTCGAAATAATATTCTATGTTTCGACCACTTAAAGTAATTAAAATATTTCCATATATTTTTCTATTGATACATATTGAAAAAAAACAAGACAAAATCTCTTAAAAAAAAAAGATTCTTTCTATGTATTATATAATTAAAAAGAGTAAATAGTTTAATAGATTAAATGTATCGATAGTCAGTACATATTAAATATATATTATCGTTTTGTAAAACTAAAACATGACTATAAAAAAAAAACGACTTGCAAAAATATAAATTTCGGTCACGATTACTTAGAACAGTTTATGAACACGTTTTTTCTTTTATTACTTTTGTTTATGACGAATACACGTTTTATTTTTAATCTATTTCAAATATTTATATTATTTTTATTCTATACATCATTATTATATATCATTATCACATACAATTATTTTACATATAATTCTATACATTCATTAATTAACATTGAATTTTTTAATTTCATGCCTATATCTTAAACAAATATATTTTGGCAAATATTCCTGGGATTAATTGTTTAGTATTTTTTTTAAATTTTAATTGAATAGTTTAGCTATAAAGATATATTTTATATATTTTTATTCTTAGTTATGCTTTATTATTAAGAAAAATTTAGTCATTCAGAAATTATTTACATAACGTGCCATTTATTTTACATCATATTGAAAATATAACCTTTTTCTCTTCTTCTCTCTTAAATTGTTTTAATAAATAAAGAAGAAAAGAAAATCGCAATTTCCATCCGACTGACACAATATTTATCTAATTCCAGGTGGTGTGGAGAAATCACAGTATGGTCAGCTACCGAAACAAATACTCAGCAAACATGGTTTCGAGGGATGTCTCGCATCGTTGGATCTTAGTGGCGAGAGCACCAACCTGATTTCCGACGCGGTGGTCCCTAGTTCTTTAGTAGAATCCGGTTGTGATATGTATGCCAATCTGCATCCTGGCAAAAAGTGTACACACGACGTGTGCTCGAATCATGGCACGTGCGTACAACAATGGAACAGTTATACATGCGACTGTGACATGACCAGTTTCACAGGACCAACGTGTAACGAAGGTAAAAAAAAAAAATAGCATATTTCATGGCTACATAGATCGATTATTTTTGGTTGATTACAGTACAGATTACAGTTGATTACAGATTGATTACAATCAGTTACAAAGATGTATATCTTTTTGTATATCTTGCGAGATCAAATAAAAAATCATTTAATGAAATCAAAAAACAATTTGATTTCTTATGAAATTTTGTGAGCTTATAATAAATTATATAGTCAATCATAAATGTACATATGATACACATCTGATGCAAATTGTATTGAGTTATATTATTGAAATGAAAAAAGAGTTTGAATTAAAATAAAATTTCGTGAATAGAACAGATAATAGCAATTAAGAAAATATTATTTTAAGAACATGAAAAAGTTTCAAGTTGTTCTTTTTATTTGTTTAAATGGAAATTTGTAATACTACAAAATAAAGCAAAACTTTTAATATATAAAATGTTCAGATTTCAATCTATTCATTAATAATAAAAAGTGCTAAAACTTTTGAATCAAAATTGAAAATTAAGAATTCTCCATAAAAATTCCCATTATGATTTACATATACATAAATTTTCATTGAAATAAAACTTTTCAAATTAGATGAGTTTTTGTTATAAAATATTATATAAAAGTTTTTGTGATTGTATTTTTATGAATGGAAAAATCATTGCCATGAATAGAAAACAAATAATCCTTCCTGCAAACACATATTTGTATTTATTTTTATTCAAGAGTTTTAATTCATTTTTTATTCTATCTCTTGTCTATAGAGTGGAAATTATTTTATTTTATTTTATTTATTTACTTATCAAATATATAATGAAAGTTTTTAATTTATTTTTGCAGATAGAAGTTATTGTATCTTATTTATTTTATATATTATAAGTACAAGTATCATCCATTTCATACATTTTAATTTTTTTCAATATTTTAGATATATTTTTTAAAAATTCAAGATTACTTATAAGATATATAGGTATTTTATTAACTGTCAGATCTTTAATTAAAAAATATCGAAAAGTCCAATTTCTAAACTTGAATTTTTCAATTTTCTATTTATTTTATTAAAAATATTTTTGATAATAATGTAATATTGAAATTTTAGAGAGTATACTTATATTTTATGATAATAACTCGTTTTGTTGTTACGCACAGCAGGTGCGCTGCAGCAGGTGTGCTTTTTTCATAAAAAAGAATAGATTGATTCATCTTTTTAAAATATATTAAATTTGTACCATATTAGGAAAAGTAAAATAACAAATCAATTCTAAAACTAATTCGATTTCTATAAATATATTTTATATCTCAAAAGTTCTTAAAATTAATAGCTTTTTCGATGTTCTATTTTAATATAAAAAATTGTTATATGAAAACTATTTCATTCAGGATTTCATGACGAAACGAAATATATAATTACTTATTTTGTGAGATACTCTGTATCTGATTACTTAAATCTAAAGCATTCAAGTTGAATAATGATTCAATGCTGTTAATATATGTTAAAAATATATGTTACGTACTGAATATTTTAAGAAAAAATAACATATTTAAAAAATTTGTTTAATAATTTTAAGTTAAAGCAATCCTTATGATGGTTTAATGCATCATAAATTAAAATTTCTTTTTTTTCTTTTGAAACATCTTTTTTATTCTTAAAAATATCGTTTAATAAATTATTCTCAAAGCCTATTTTAAATTGATTCAAGTTTAATTTATTATTAAAAGATTTTGAATCATATTATACGTATAGAGATTATATTCATTTGTACTTGTTTTCAATTGAATGTTATAAAGATTAAATGATTTGATTTTTGATTATTTATTAGCAAAAATTATTAATTAAAAAAATATTCAAATATGCAATAAATATTTTAATGTATTAAATGTTCGATATCGTATAATTTCTAAATGCATCAATTTTTTGCATTAATATTATAAATTCTAAAAAAGAAAAAAATAAAAGAAAAAAACATTTTAAGCTAAAGTTTCTAAAGTTTTCTTTGATTGATTTAATTCT